TCATCCCCTCAAGGAGGAGAGAAGACCCCAAAAACACCCCCCTCAAAAACTTTTTTTTTTGGAAATCTAAGAAGTCCTCTATTTATATTACAAGAAGAGAAAGAAAGAAATCTGAAAATTAAGCTCGTACAAGACCCAGAAACCCGCGCCCGTGGCAAGGCTTCTCCGAGGCATCTCCAAAAAGTTGCAACGCCTAGGAAGAACAGAAGGTCGCGCCCGCGACACCATGGGCCGCGCCCGCAGAGCCTGGCAGCGTCTTGCAGATTCAAATGACCATAACTTCTGTTCTAGGAATTCTCTTGGGGTGTGCGACCTACTGTTGGAAATATTTTCAAGTCTAGTTTCCAACGCAATTTGAATCGCTTCAATCCTATGTGTAGATCAAAATTTATGGCTAAAAGAGTGAACAAGACTCGGTTTAAGGCCTTCTACGAGCTTCAAGCTTTCTTGTCTCAAGCTTCTTAGCTTCAAGCTTCTTCTATTGAAATTTCTTGCCTTTCCTCGGGTCATAATCGTCAAAGAAAGAATCAAGCACCTACACAAATAGACCAAGAGAGAAAAGAATAAAAGAACACATAGAAAAACATGCAAATCAAGCTAGAAACCGAGCAAAAAGCATATTATTCACAACTAAGGCCTAAAACCTTAAACTAAGACAAAGATAACTAAAACAAGACTAAAAGGAATAGAAATAACAAAGAAACATCGAAATAAACCTAAAACTAAGGGCTAAAAACGCCCTAAAATGTGTCATAAATGACACTTATCAGAAATTTAAGAGTTTCAGAGTGAAGTTGAAAATCAACTTGGCAAGAAAATAAAAGCTCTTCGATCGGATCGAGGTAGTGAATATTTGAGCCATGAATTGGACGATCACTTGAAATAAAATGGTATTCTTTTAAAGTTGACACCTACCGGAACTCCACAATGGAACGGAGTATCCGAACGGAGGAATCGAACCTTGTTAGACATGGTTCAATCAATGATGAGTCATAGTGAACTTCCTATCTCTTTCTGGGGACACGCACTTCTAACTGCGGCACTAACAATGAACCGCACTCCGTCAAAAGCTGTCGAAATGACTCCATATGAATTATGGAAGAAGAAACCTCCGAGGTTGTCTTTTCTTATGATTTGGAGTTGCGAAGCATATACCAAGAGATTAATTTCTGACAAACTTTACCCAAAATCAGACAAGTGTTTCTTTGTGGGTTACCCAAAAGAAACTAAGGGGTATTACTTCTACAATAAATCCGAGAAAAAATTGTTTGTTGCTCGTGATGGTGTCTTTTTGGAAAAGAAACACCTTTCCAAAATGACAAGTGGGAGGAAAATCGAACTCGACGAAGTTCGAGAGGAAGAGCAACAAAGTCAGCCTGACAAAACTAACAATCAAAGTGCTTTAGAAGTGTTGTTGACATTGGTCAGAGTCAAACCGACAATGCAAATGCTTAACCTATTACCATGCGTAGGTCGCAACGGCCAAGATCTCAACCAGGCAGATACCTTTGTATTGTCTTAACCGAAGATCAAGACATCCTAGTTATGGATGGAGATGAGCCAGCGACATACAAACAAGCTATGACGAGCCCCGACTCTACAAAATGGCAAGAGGCCATGAAATCCGAGATGGACTCCATGTCTGAAAATCAAGTCTGGGACTTGGTTAATTTGCCTGAAGGTTACACACCTATCGGTTGCACATGGATTTTCAAATTGAAAACAAACAAAGATGGAAATGTATCTATATATAAAGCTAGACTGGTGGCAAAAGGTTACACGCAAATTCACGGAGTTGATTATGATGAAACCTTTTCGCCAGTTGCAATGCTTAAGTCTGTCCAGATCATCCTAGCGATTGCTGCATAATACGATTATGAAATATGGAAAATGGATGTCAAAACCGCCTTCCTTAATGGGATTTTGGAAGAAACTGTGTATATCACACAGCCAGAAGGTTTTGTTGATCCAAGCAATGCCGAGAAGGTATGCAACCTTAAGAAGTCCATTAGTAAGTTTGTTTTTATCAAGTATCCAGATGAGTCTTGTGTCTACAAGAAGGTCAGTGGGAGTGACATCGCATTCCTAATCTTATATGTCGATGAAATATTACTCATTGGAAACAACACTAAAATGTTAGAGTCCGTTAAGGGCTGGCTGGGAAAGTGCTTTTCAATGAAGGACTTGGGAGAGGCACAATACATATTGGGCATCAAGATCTATAGGGATAGATCTAAGAGGATGATTGGATTGAGCCAAAGTACTTATATAGATAAGGTACTGGCACAATTCAACATGGAAGGGGCCAAGAGAGGGCACCTACCCATGTCCCATGGCATAACTCTCATCAAGAAACAGTGTCCACAGACACCTGATGAGCGAGAGAGAATGAATCAGATTCCATATGCTTCGCTTATTGGATCGATCATGTATGCCATGATATGTACTAGGCCGGATGTATCATATGCCTTGAGTGCTACGAGCCGATACCAATCAGACCCGGGAGAGGCGCATTGGACTGCGGCCAAGAATATCCTAAAGCACCTGAAAAGGAACAAGGGTAAATTCCTGGTCTATGGTGGCTGTAATGATTTGGTTGTTGAAGATTATACTAACGCGAGCTTCCAAACTGATAGAGACGACTCTAAGTCGCAGTCGGGGTACATATTCTACCTTAATGGAGGAGCGTTTAATTGGAAGAGTGCTAAGAAGAGCACCACTACAAATTCTACAACTGAAGCCGAATACTTAGCAACTTCGGAAGCAGCTAAGGAGGCAGTTTGGATTCGTAAGTTCATTGGTGAACTTGGTGTTGTACCCTCAATTAAGGGTCCAATAGACCTCTATTGTGATAACAATGGAGCTATTGCTGAGACCAAGGAGCCAAGGGAACATCAGAAGGTCAAACATGTCAAGCGGCGATTTCACATGATAAGGGAATGGAAATCCGAGGGTGAAATCAAAATTTGTAAGATTGGAACAGACGACAATGTAGCCGATCCTCTGATTAAAACTTTGTCTCAATTGAAGCACAACAAGAACGTTGAGGCAATGGGAATCAAGCATATTGGAGATTGGCTTTGATTTCCCTATATAGGTGTTTTAATTAAACTCGATGTCTTAATGTAAAACACTATGTTGAACCATTCAATCTTGGAGCAATTAAATTTTCTTCAAATTTATGATTACTCCATATCTATTTAATTGTTATTTAGAATTAAATAATGAGTCTATTCGATTTCTGAGAATATTCAAAACAGGGTATCAAGACCATGTCTTGGATAAAGAAACACCTGTTAAGTGAACATTGAATATTTTAATAAAAAATTATCCCTAATCAAGATCATTTAAACGATGGACGATTAATGACCACTTGAGATTAGTGTGTAGTATGATTTATAGCACCGTTTCCTGTGCTACACGGACATGATAGTCATAAATCATTTGCACATGTTCTAGTTTGGAACTGTACCGGATAGACCTATGAGAATACTTTAAAAGATAACAAATCGTCGTAAGTATATTTCTCATTATAGCTATCGAAACCTTTTTCCTTGACCATAATCCCCAGTTACGGCGGACGTTTGACAACATCAAAGAGACTAGTACTCAAACAAGAGAACTTCACAAAACTCATGGTTGAGGAAACAGGTTCCAATAGCTATAATGAGAAATGTACTTATGACGTTTTTAAATCTCTTAAAGTACTCTCATAGGTCGATCCGATGCAGTTCCAAACTAGCACATGTGCAAATGATTTATGACTACTATGTCCTTGCAGCACAAGACACGGTGTTGTAAATCATACTAGTCACTAATCTCCAGTGGTCATTAATCGTCCATCAGTTAAATGACCTCGATTAGGGATAATTTTCGATTTAAATATTCAATGTTCACTTAACAGATTTTTTTTATCCAAGACATGGTCTTGATACCCTGTTTTGAATATTCTAAGAAATCGAATGGACTCATAATTTAATTCTAAACCACAATTAAATAGCAATGGAGTGAATAGTAATTTTGCAGGAACAATTAATTACTCCATAAATGAATGGTTTCAACATAGTGTTTTACATTAAGACATCTAGTTTAATTAAAACACATGTACATAGAATTCAAAGCCAATCTCCAATGTGCTTGATTCCCATTGCCTCGACGTGCTTGTTGTGCTTCACTTGAGGCAGAGGTTTAGTCAAAGGATCGGCCACATAGTCATCCGTTCCGATCTTACAAATTCTGATTTCACCATCGGATTTCCATTCCCTTATCATGTGAAATCGCCTTTGGACGTGTTTGACCTTCTGGTGCTCTCTTGGCTCTCTGGCCTGAGCAATAGCTCCATTGTTGTCACAATAGAGATCTATTGGACCCTTGATGGAGGGTACAACACCAAGTTCACTGACGAACTTACGAATCCAAACTGGCTCCTTAGCTGCTTCCGAAGCTGCTAAGGATTCGGCGTCAGTTGTAGAATCTGCAGTGGTGCTTTGCTTAGCACTCTTCCAACTAAACGCTCCTCCATTTAGGAAAAATACATACCCTGACTGTGACTTGAAGTCGTCTCTGTCAGTCTGGAAGCTAGCGTCGGTGTAACCTTCAATAAGCAAATCTTTGTGGCCACCATAGACCAGGAATTTATCCTTGTTCCTTTTAAGGTACTTTAGGATATTCTTGGCCACAATCCAATGCGCCTCTCCTAGGTCTGATTGGTATCAGCTCGTAGCAATTAAGGCGTACGTTACACACTACTACATTTTTAACCAAATGCAACGGCCTAATAAAGGCTAATACAACGGTATTCTAATTGCCGTTGCAATAGAGTAGGTTATTGCCACGGATTTAACACTAATGTTCTTAGAGGTAGAGCTATTGCCACGGCTGTAAAGAACCGTTGCAATAGCCTAGCTAATTTTAAAAAAATGAGAGCTATTGCAACGGTATGTTGTATCATGAAAAAATTTAGAACGAATGAAGCGCGCATTTTCCCTCTATTTTTTTCATTTGCTTCCCTCTATTCTCTATTCTCACATAAAGTACCTTTCTCCTTTTTCTCCATTTTCCCCATTCTCAATTTCTCATCACCATTTTCCCATTTTCTCCATTTCTCCATCTTCTTCATCCATTTGGTTATCTTCTTCATCATGCAATCTCCTAAATCGTTCTAACCTTCTATGATTTTTCTGCTGGATTATAGAGTCCCTTTTGATTATTGCTCGGATAAGTTATTGGCAGGAGGTAAATCCTCAAATTCTTTCTCCTTTTTTTTGCTCCTCTCTATTCCATCATCATTATTGCTTGAATTAGGACTTTCTTTGCCTTAAATTCGATCAATTTCAAGTTTCATGAACTCAATTTTAGGGTTTAGTTCTTTTTACAATGTCAATGTAAATTGATTTTGCAAAGACAGCGGTGTAGTCGGGTTTTCTGGTAATATCTGCAACCTTTGATTTGATTATGCAATTGCAATTGTTACAGCTTGCAATTGATGAATGGAATACGAATTGGGTTGATCTTGCTTAAAGTTGGTGGGTCCACTACTTGTGCTATCTTCTTCTTCATTTTTTCATGGTTAGTTTTCTATTTTTTTTAATCTCTTTTTGATTTTAGCGATTTTTGATGATTTTTGGTAATTCCCTTTTGTTTCGGTTTGTTAGGGTTTTAGGAATTTAAATTTGATATAAATGTGTTGTGTTGTAATTTGGGATTATTGATTTATGTTGTTTATTGGAAAGGTAAGAAATTTGTTTTACCAGAGTGCTCTCAACTATGATTGATGGGTGGAATACGAATACTCGAATTACAGCTTTTTTCGTGGTGTCGACTTGGGGGTGATAATGTGAATGTAAAGCATGGTTATTGTGTTTTAGAGTACCCATATTTGCCTTAGGAAAAAGACGTGAATTGTCAAGATAAGTGAGTAATGTGTGTTGCTGAATTTGCTATCAACTACTGGTATGTATGCTGGGTGGAATGTTCAGCTGGTTTCGTGGTGTTAATTTTGTAGATTTATGTACTGACTACTGAGAATATAAGATAGATTGTACTGGATTGTCAGGCTTCAAGCCTTCAAGCTTTGTTCTTGAGTGTTTCTTCCTTTCCGGGGATGACTAGGTAAGGACGTAAGGGGTGGTTCAATTTGGTTTTGTATTAGGTGATGAATTGTAATTCATCAAGTGTTCATTGGATATTATTTGTTGCTGAATGCTGAGCTTTTTGTCTGATTGGTAGTTTTTGGCCAGTGTACATACTCCCACAATTCGCTTCTTTGTATTATATCATGCATTTGTGTTTTTTTTTTTTAAAAGAAAATGGACACATAGCACTTCGTTGGATGACTGAGAGTGGTTTTTTGTCAGGCCTGTTTAAGTTGATGGAAACAAGCAAAACTAAGCCTATAACCATGAGAAACTTGGCACAATGCATTCAACTGAGTGAGATGGGTGTAGTGGGATCTCTTGAACAACTATGACGTAATAATATAGTATCATAATGTCCTTTGTAGAGTGTATCCTAACTAATTATATGGTTAATGTGACAGGATAAACTTGATGCTAAGATTATAGTGGCAAGCTATTCAATCACTTGCAGTCAGATCAGAAGATTTGCAATCAGCTTGTATGCTTTTCTTTTTCTAATATTCATTAGTTATCTGTATATAATCCTGCAATCGTGCTTGAGCTTGGTTTTGGCAATTGTACTGTGTTGCATTAAAGTGACAGTGCTTGAGCTTGGTTTTTGCATTTCTGGTTGCATTGCAGTTGTTATCACGCATTGCTGAAGTTAAGTTTATTGTGTTTTCATGTAAAATAAACACACTGAATAGGGTTAAGTTTAGTTTATTGTGTTTTCTTGATATGACTCAATATATAGCTCGAATAAATAAAATTGAAAAAAATAGTCGTATTTATAGAAGAGTGGAAAATACAGAGTAAATAATTGATCCACAGTGAATGACCCGACATCGAATGCATTCACTCATTCTGTTTCTGAGTATTTGCTTGGACTGAATTCACTTCACCTCTATATAATGTGTAATCATGGATCAATTATTTGGAGAATCGGAGTTGCTTTTTGATTGGAAATGTGATTGGAGTTATTCCGAAGTTAAATACATAACAAATTATTAAAGCGAATTGGTGGTGCTGGAGTTATGTATTTCAACTTCAAATTTTTGTAATGAACATATAGCTGTTGTGAGTTGTGCAAACTACTTGGGTAAGGAGGACTCAGGGAGTCAGGGATGAAGAGCTCGTAATTAAACACGCAAGTTTCTTGGTCATTCACTGTTAACTTGACTAAGAAACTTTTAATAGTGTTAATTACATATGTTGATTTTGATATCCTCATATTTCCCACTACCCTCATCTTTTTATCTGGGTTGAATAAGATGTGTTGTTGTCATAGTCAAATCCGGTTTTATTTATCAATATCTACGTGACATCAACCTTGGCCATTAGATGAGAATAACCGCAATACAAACCTACCAACAGTGAGCATTCTAAAGGTTGCTTGAACTATTTTTCCTTTGATACCTTACTAATGTTACTATCATGTATATCATCCATTTTTTTTAATTTAATTTGCAACATTGTTTCATAGAATTCACTTTGAGGAAGCAATTAGAGAAGGCAAACAAACAACTTTTAAAAATAATTTGACCACTTGTAAGAGGGTAAAGTAAGGGTATTAGGTGTTAAAGTTGACTGCTAAACTTCACTAATTGCTTCCTTAAAGTGTGTGTCATGAGGCAATTTTGCAATTGAAAAAAAAGAAAATTCATGTCTAACTGAGTAACTGCATCCAAGTTTGTGCAACATAAGCTTTGTGTATCTGTAAATATTTACGTCCCAATCTTCTGCAAATGTTTTTCAGGATTGTTGAAGGAAGCAGTGATGGAGGATCCAATTGGTATGTTTTGGATAGACAAACGTCTCAGAAATTTGATAGCTATTTCCAGCGCAAACTGTACAGGGTGGGATCGCGGCATACACAATCAAACGCCATAAGGTATTCACCCCCCCCCCCCCCCCTTTCCCCCCTCCTTCCCCTTCCCCCTCCTTCCCTTGGCAGAAAAGTACCTGAGTATACATTAAATGCTGAGTCTTGTAGGTTCACCTTTCTGTCAGTCCGAGATGTTAAGTCGACGTTAAGGCTACAAATTTGTAGTATTTACTTATATGCAGGAAACTGCTAACATCCAATGAAATGTACTATTGATTACAGGTGCCAGTTTGGTCGGAGGCAACTATAATACTTCTTTGATTTTGGCTGACATCTATTTATTCAAATACGAGGGTTGAATTTATTTCAAAATTTATCAAGCTTGAGAAGTTTTAGACTGAGTAAAAAGATGTATTCAGTTTTCCCTCACAATGTTGTAAAAATGTCACCCGTACATAACAACTACAGGAATTGTTTTCTTAAAAAAATAAATAAATAAAAAAAAAAAAAAAAATCGAGGGAATTTTTAATTTTTAGTATGTTAGTCAGAGTAGGAGAGAAATGGGGAGAGGAGAGAAAACCGGTATGGGGCTCACCATTGTTAAATAGCTAAATGAAAAAATCATGAACCAATAACGATGTGATTTGAGTTTAGGATGTATTAAAAGTCTAAATTATTGATTTAATCCCTAAACGATGGTGATTTTTCTTGGAAAGTGGAAGTTTTGCTTGTTATGTTAGGGTGATCATATTAAGCTATTGGTACATTTGGTAGTATTTTAGAATCAAGAGTATTATTGTGTTGAACTATAGATTATGCTTAGTAACTCGATTTTAGTTTAAGATGTATAAAAACTGCAAATGATTGATGGATTTACAAAATGATGGTGATTATTTGGGAGACAACAGTTCTAGTTATTAGGTAGGGAAGTAGGGGTGTCCTTTTCTGTTATCTGACTTATCTCCTTCAAGAACTTCCTCAGATTTGATTTTGGGAAGCTTTGGAAATAGTTTGATGTTGTGTTATGGGTTTTAGTTCTTAAAATAGTTGTTGCTACACCTCTATATATACTTGCCAAGTAGCACTAATTAGACTTGTGTACAAATTACTACAACAACTTGGTATAATGACTAACTGATCTGACTATACACCTCATTAAGTTTCTTGTCTGATCATCCAGCACTAGACAGCCACACAGCAACAGCAGAACAACCAGCCAGCACCGGCACCAAGCTAGAACAGGCACCTGTGGCATAAGCAGTATAGCCCAACTACAAAATTCAGCTCCAGAATGACTATTGCATTACCTGCACCCAACTGTCAGTCTGAGCAGAAGCAGTAGCTTGGGCAGCAGAAACACAGCAGAAACAACAGCTGGCAGAAACAGCAGCAGACATAACCAACAGCAAGGACCTGCAGGCCAAAACCAGCAAGCCACGCCAGCAACACCTCAACAGCATTCCAGCAACACAGCACCAGCAATACAGGAACAGCAAGCACCAGCAACAGATATCAGCAGCAACAGGCTGGAGAAAGCAGGCTGTGGCAGAACCAGTAGATAGACAAGGAGCAGCTGACTCTAGCTGAAGACCGGCAATGCCACAGCAATAGAATCCAGCATCAACAGCCATCACCAGTACACCAGTGGCAGCACCTGCAACCAGCAACAGGCTGGACAAAACCAGAACAGCCCCAACAGTAGCTTGCACACACAGAGCTGCAAAGCAGAAGCAAGCAAAGACTTTGAATGCATATTAATAAAATTCTAATTGAATTTTGTAATTTTCCTTATAGGTAACAATGTACAAACTTTGAATTCAAATTAATAAAATTCTAATTTTTTTTAAAAAAATTCTTATATTAATTGTATTATTATTGTTATTGTTATTGTTATTGTTATTGTTATTGTTATTGTTATTGTTATTATTATTATTATTATAAGGTATAGTGAACCGTGGCATTAGGGTATATGCATTGTGTGACATTAGGCATAGTGAACCGTGGCAATAGGGTATATGCACCGTGGCATTAGGTATAGGAAACCATGGCATTAGGTATTATAGCTATTGCCACGGCAATAATGTTGCCGTTGCAATACGTATTGATCTAACGCCACGACTCATTGATGCCGTGGCATTAGGTGTCATTTGCCGTTGCATTAGACCTATTGCAACGCTAGCTGATGCCACGGTACATGGTCGTTGCATTAGGCCTAATACCACGGATTTTGACGCCTAATGCAACGGCTTTGAGGGTTGCAATATATAAAAAATGTAGTAGAGACATCAAGCCTAGTACATATCATGGCATACATGATCGATGCAATTAGCGAAGCATATGGAATCTGATTCATTCTCATCCGCTCAACAGATGTCTGTGGACACTGTTTCTTGCTGAGAGTTACGCCATGGGACATGGGTAGGTGCCCTCTCTTGGCATTCTCCATGATGAATCGTGCCAGTACTTTATTAATGTAAGTACTCTAGCTCAATCCAATCATCCTCTTAGATCTATCCCTATAGATCTTGATGCCCAATATGTACTGTGCCTCTCCTAAGTCCTTCATTGAAAAGCACTTTCCTAGCCAGCCCTTTACAGACTCTAGTAATTTTGTGCTGTTTCCAATGAGCAATATGTCATTGACATATAGGACTAGGAATGCGATGTCACTCCCACTGACCTTCTTGTAAACACAAGACTCATCTGGATTCTTGATAAAACCAAACTTACTGATGGCTTCATCAAATCGCAGATTCCAACTTCTGCTTGAATGCTTTAGTCCATAAATGGACTTCTTAAGCTTGCATACCTTTCCAGCGTTGTTTGGATCAACAAAACCTTCCGGCTGTGTCATATACACAGTTTCTTCCAAAATCCCATTAAGGAAGGCGGTTTTGACATCCATTTGCCATATTTCGTAATCGTAATATGCAGCAATCTCTAGGATGATCCGGACGGACTTAAGCATTGCGACTGGCGAAAAGGTTCATCATAAATCCCATGGATTTGCCTGTAACCTTTTGCCACCAGTCTAGCTTTGTATACTGATACATTTCCATCTTTGTCTGTTTTCAATTTGAAAATCCATTTGCAACCGATGGGTGTATAACCTTCGGGCAAATTTACCAAGTCCCAGACTTGATTTTTAGACATGGAGTCCATCTCAGATTTCATGGCCTCTTGCCATTTAGCAGAGTTGGGGCTCGTCATAGCTTGTTTGTATGTCGCTGGCTCATCTCCATCCATGACTAGGATGTCCTGATCTTTGGTTAAGACAATACCAAGGTACCTGTCTGGTTGAGATCTTGGGTATTGCGATCTATGAAGGGTAATAGGCTGAGCATTTACATTGTCTGTTTGATTTTGACCAATCTTATCAACTGCTTCTAAAGCATTTTGATTGTCAGTTTTATCAGGTTAACATTGTTGCTAGTCCTCTCGAACTTCGTCGAGTTCGATTTTCCTCCCACTTGTCATTTTGGAAAGGTGTTCTTTCTCCAAAAAGACACCATCACGAGCAACAAACACTTTTTTCTCGGATATATTGTAGAAGTAATACCCTTTGGTTTCTTTTGGGTAGCCCACAAAGAAACACTTGTCCGATTTTGGGTGAAGTGTGTCAGAAATTAATCTCTTGACATATGCTTCGCAACCCCAAATCTTAAGAAAAGACAACCTTGGAGGTTTCTTAGTCCATAATTCATATGGAGTCATTTCGATAGCTTTTGACGGAGCACGGTTCAGTGTTGGTGCCGCAGTTAGTAACGCATGTCCTCATAAAGAGATAGGAAGTTCACTAAGACCCATCATTGATCAAACCATGTCTAACAAGGTTCGATTTCTCCTTTCGGATACTTCATTCCATTGAGGAGTTCCAAGAGGTGTCAGCTCTGAAAGAATACCATTTTCTTTCAAGTGATCGTCGAATTCATGGCTCCAATATTCGCCACCTCGATCCGATCGAAGTGCTTTTATCTTCTTGCCAAGTTGATTCTCAACTTCACTCTGAAATTCTTTGAATTTCTCAAAGGATTCAGATTTATTCGACATAAGGTAGACAACCATATCTACTATGAATTGTCTTAGTATTGTCAGCGGTATCAACATTTGTCTAATTATATGTAAAAACATGCAATTTCCATTGAACATATATAAATAAGACATTTTGAAACAACTATTGTCAAAGTCTTATGATCAAAACAACTTGGTGTCCAACACCATTGATCATAGTATGTTCAAAAGCATGATGAAACTAAGATTAGTTTAATTACAAGTTATAGACAAAATAAATGTGCCTACAAGCACGACCAAAAGACCATCTTCGTCGTCCGCTCGTAGTTGCACATCCACTTGTGAAGCCCTCTCACTTGGTTCCTGAAAAAAAAAAAATAAAGGCAACGCAAAGTGAGTCATATTTGGTATCCAATACCTATGAATAGCTTTTATACAAGTGTTAAGGAAGATACCTGAGGCAGGTGCCACATTCCTCTCCTCTTCATCCTTGCGAAAGATCTTGCATTCTCGTTTGTAGTGACCTTGTTCACCACAATAGAAGCAACGCATCTTCAGTTTGACCTTCTTCTTTAAGGGTCTTTTGCTTGCTCCATGAGAGGTGGCTCGGAGAAGCCGCTCTACCACAACTCTTAAAGAGTGAGTCTCCTCTTCCGCAGCTATATGTGCCCTGAGAGTAGAGCTGTCAAAAGCTAGCCCGACCCGAAATACCGACCCGAACCCGATTATTAACCGACCCATCTAAACCCGGAAAAATGATGACCCGACCTGAAACCAACCCTAGACCCGAGTTAACGGTTATTTCCTGGCTGCAGAAAGGTTGAAGGTCAAGGGATGGACTGTTTCTTTGCCGAGATAATACCCTGAGCCCACCCGATTATTTGAGACCCGAACCCGAACATGAACCGACCTGGAGATGACCCGACCCGAATATAACCCGTAAAATATTGACTTGAACCAAACCCGACCTGAACCGAAATTGACCCAAACCCGTTTTAACACGTCAAAACCCGATTTTAACCCGGCCTGAATTCAACCCGACCTATTCCTAACCCGACCCGAATTAAACCCGACCTATTACTAACCCGACCTGGAATTCAACCCGATCTGTCCCTAACCCGACCCGAACCCGACTTGTTATTGACCCGAAATTAACTAGCAATCTAGGATTACGTCATATCTTTTTTTCCCTAATTCTATGAGTTATTTTCCTATTTAAGCTTATTCAAATATTTTCAATAAAATTCTCTACTATCAAATGTAATACAATTTATATGTCTCATAAAAACCTATAAAAAATTATGAATACCACTACTTTTTGGATGCATGTGCAATCTTTTTTTAAATTTAGTAATTATGATTTACGAATACTACTACTTTTTAGGTGCAAGTTCATTCTATATTTCAATTAAGCAATTATGGTATACGAATACTACTACTTTGTAGATGCATGTGCATTAATGTAGTCAATTACGGTTTACAAATACTATTTGATCTTAAGCTTGTTTGTTTTATCTTATATTTTATAAATAAAAATAAAAAATAAAAAAAATCAAAGAAAAAAAAGTTAAAAAAAATAATTTCGGATAATGACTGAATTGAACGTGATAATGATTAAATGCAAGCATGAGTATATGACAATGACCAGATGATAATCTGACCTAAATAATTTACCTGTACCCGATTATGACTTGACTAGTCTGGACTCAAGAAAGTGGTGACTGTAGGGTTTCGTAGTGACCCGACACTACGCGGAAGGAAACCCCCCAAGACCCGCCCCTTAATTAAAGCAATTAACAAGCATAATAAACTTAATCAAACAAGACTAAGAATAAGAATTATACCTTTGTTGCGTGCTTCGCTCCCGAAGAGCTCTTACTTCAAAATCCCGAAACTACGAGATCTCCGACGGATCGTACCCTCGACCCGACCCGAGCGTCCCAAGTCTTGAAGGTTAGTCAAAAACCGGACAAAACAAAACTATGAGTTTTACGAAAAAAAAGGTTTACTCTAATTACAAGAGTTGCCTTTTTAATTCCACTCAAGGTTGTGTATTTCCCAATACCATGCCTTTGGTATTTATAGGGAAATGCACCCTTGAACTTCATTCCCCAACCAATGTAGGAGAATGAATAATTTGATAATTAATTTATT